CGGAAAGTCTCAAGCGACAGCCTCCATGGGCTCTCCTGTATGCAGACGATGTGGTGTTGATGGCAGAAAAGAATGAAGAAGAAACCCAGAGATGGAAGGACCAATTAGGGTCGTACGGCTTAAAGCTCAACACAAAGAAGAAGAAGAAAAAAGATATGGAATACTTATATCAAAATCAAAGACAAGTTTGATAAAACGTTAAGCAAAGCACATAAAATAACTGAGAGATGGTGAACGTGCTTCGGAGAAATCGTCCACACCAGCACTGAAACAGCCATTCCACCAGCTGACACTGTGAAAGCAGGGCACAAAGAGGAAGTAGGATTGCTATGACGAAGACAAAGAACGGCAAGGCTACCGGTCCGGATGACATATCAAGCGAACTCTGGAAAGAATGCCAACGGCTCGGTGCCTCCTGGCTTGCAGGCCTCTTCAATCAGGGCTTCAAAGCTAAGAGCATCCCAATGACAGAGTACAACGATTCCGATATGGAAGAATAAAGGCGCTATCGCAGATAGTTTAACATATCGGCCAATCGGGCTGCTGAGCCGCACTCCGAATCTTCGAAAGATCATTGAAACACGACTCTGAGCGATCATAGAATCGTAATCTAATCAGTGCGGATTTGTAAGTGCCAGCATCGCACAAAGACCAGTAACATCAGTGATTGGTGCTCTCCTCTCCTAGTCTTTATTACAGTCATGGGCTGACGGAAGGTCTTAAGCGACATCCTCTATGGGCTCTCCTCTATGCAGAAGATGTGGTGTTGATGGCAGAACTTGAAGAAGAGGTGCAGAGATGGAAGGACCAACGTCGCACGGCGAAGCTCAACACAAAGAAGAAAGATTAGGGAGGTCAAACTTCAGAAACCATACATCGGTGACCAGCCAATCAAGAAGACGAGTACTTTCGAGTATCTAAGAAGTCGTATCTCTGGCGAAGGACAAGATTATTTATCGGCCAGGACAAACGCAGCCTAGATCTAATGAAGGACCTTTACAGGAGTTCTATGTGACCATCCAACGGCGCTCTATGGCAATGAATGTTGGCCAAGTACACGAATGATGAACACAAGTTTAGTGTCATAGAGACAAGAATGTTGCGGTGGACATTCGATATCACGTTGCTGGATCAAGTCTCTAATGACACACTTCGGGCCAGATGGAATTTGCTCCCATCACGATGATGCAGGAAAAACGACTGCGATGGTACGGCATGTGAGAGAAGAAATAATACCCACATCACCAGAGTGGCAATGTCTCAAGAGGTCGCTGGAAAAAGACCGCGTGAAGGACAAAGATGAGGTGGATGGACAGAATCAGGGCCGACTTGAGGAGCTTCGAAAGATAAACATCATGCCTTGAATCGAGAATACTGGAGACAGTTGACTCGCACAGCAGATCCTGCGCACGGCAAAATGCGAAGATTAAAAAAAAAATTTTTTTAAATCTTCGTCTGTCTACAGCCGGCTTGTTACGATCTTTTCACTAATCATATATTATGGCAAGAAGACAAGACGATATAATGTGTTTTGAGGTTTGACCGCTGATGCCATAATGTTGGAGCCGCAGAATATGCAATACGTGCTAGTGGCCTCCTTTTCGCACGAATTTTGAGTGAAACGACCAGTGTACTCACATCTGACTAGTATTGCGTGTTTCCGACTAAATCGAATAAGAAAGTTAGGTCAATGCCAGAGGAGCAGCCTTTTCTGGTAGGATAAGTGCCTTCCTCAGCATAGCACTGTCAGGATCATGCGTTTTGTAGGTAACGGAGCTTTGTTTTCAATATCTTAAATAGCATTTGTGTCCATCGAGTGGTACAGATTGTCTTCTTTTGTCTTAGAGCAGAAAAGTCCAAGCCTAAATGCGACTACCAGCCGCACTTTCTCGCTTTCAATAATCGAAGTGCCAAAGACGCTGCTAGCATAGCATAATTCTCTATTTGCAGCTAAACAATTTCACAAATGATCATGTCGATGGTGGATGGCATAAACCGTAGTCGCACACAAACAGACATTTCAGGATGGGATTGTCTTGCTTTGATAGGGAGTATATCTCTGGAAAAGATAGAACCATTCCCCAGGGGTTCCACTTTGAAATGATTAAATTCATGTGGTCGTGCCAAAGCAGGATACAACCTCCTTAATAATTTGCTCGATATGAGGTTCTTTTGTCAACGTCGATGCTGAGCAGCTGCTTCAAACGTCAAACTAGCGACTACTCTGCTGTGCACAACCGAGCCTTTCTTATGATAACGAGCGTGTCTAAGGCTATCCTCCAGTGACTGGAATGACTCTCATGGCTCACATTTATAAAACTCAATCCAAATTTTGCCCAATGTTTCAAAGTCAAACTCTCACTTGTCAGAAGCGAACATACCAACCCAGATGGCCCACCTCCAACGTATCGCCGGGTCTTGTTGGCGTCTTTACTTTGTCTTCTTTGTTTTCGGGAGTATGGGCTGGAGTATCTTTCTTTTTCTCCACTTTCACGTTCGGCTTCTTTTCAGACTCAATTTGAGTTGCCACTTCCTTTGGTGGGCCATCAGTTTCTGAAGATGAAAAGTGAAATCCCTCATATTTTCGACAATGTTAATAATGCCTCACTTTTACTTTTCGCTTTTGGTGATTTCGATGGAGACGATTGTTTGACACCGGTTGAAGGCTGCTTTGCAGCATTGCCGGCAGCTTTCATCTAAATTGCCAGTGGAGGTAAACACTTC